AATAGTGCAACAATGAATGAATGGAAACCCAAAATCTCTCTAAATGTTTATGAAAATTAATAAAATATAATTATAGGGAAAAAAAAGGTGAACTTGGCCAGGCCACAGGTTCTTCCAAAGCAGGCGAGGTGACTGTCTTCCAGAAGCCTGATGATCCACACCTTACAGAAAGAAAGGCAGTGCCATCCTCATGGGCCTCACTGAGCACGGGACACACACACGCGCCGGTCAAGGGAAGGCTTCACTGAGCTGCGGACACACACACACTAGTAAAGGGAGGGCTTCAGAGCACTGGACACATACGTCGGTGCAGGGGAGGGCCTCACTCAGCAGGGGACACACACACATACAGGGGAGGGCCTCACTCAACAGTGGGGACACATACACCCCCCTCCAGGTACATGGAGGGCCTCACTGAGCGGTGGACACACACACACACACATACACACACACACACGCGCACACACACGCGCGCACGTGTACAGGGGAGGACCTCACTGAGTGGTGGGGACACACACACACACACGTGTACAGGGGAGGGCCTCACTGAGCGGTGGACACAAACAGTAGCACAACAGAGCTCAGCCCCAAGTGCATGGAGTCAGGAGATCCAAGTGTCCATCACCCGGTCATCACCTGGTCATCCCATCCAGCTACAGCACACACTGGTCCTGCCTCAGTCCAGCTTCTGTCCAAGCTGTAAGCTCCATCACCTCCCAGCCCCACGACTCTTGTGTCCTTCCAGAGCTTAGCTCCTGGCGACCTTCCTGCAGCTGACGGCAAGGCCAGCACCAGAGTCCAGCAGTGACAACAGTGGGTTAGCCCAGCGGCTGCCAAGTGACACCGGCGTCCACACTCACCAGTCCTACCGCTAAGCCAGACACCCGTGAGCAGAACGTGGGCCTGGTCCCCAAGGGGACACAACTCCTTCTCTTCCTACTGGAAGAACTATTTCTCACGAAACGAGCAGCACAGGCGGGCACAGGAGTTATGAACAGCCATGCGACCGGTGCGCCGACACGTGTCAGCTGTCCTGGCTAGCACTCAGACCACCCGGCAGGAAGGGTTAACGTGCGCCCGACCAGCAAGTGCCTGCCATACACCCTGGCGAGACAATGACCTGCCACCACTTACAGGACTAAGCACTTGGGGACAGCCCAGAGGACAAAGTGAGGACACACACCATCAATGTGTACCCTGCTCATTAAAGGAGCAGAAAACCTGACCGCTTTTTTTAAAAGCTCCTCATTGGAAGGGATGCTTTTCTTCACGGAATGGACCCTGGAGGGGCCGGAGGGATGTCAGCCTTGTAAAGAAAACAGGTGTTAGAAATCCTCTCTATTTCCAAACAGTTTATAACCAACTCCAAGCACATGTGCCAAGTCCCCATGAATCCAGTCAGCCAGTTGACATCAAGCTCTAACGTAAAGAGAGATCCCCGTGAAAAACAAAGTCAAGCGCACACAGGACAAGGCCTCGAAGAATCAATGAGACGTGCAGCTGCACCAGAGGGCGAGGGCAAGGGCCTAGTTGGCCAAGGCTGGAACACCGCGTGGACACTGCCACAAAGCTCTTCATGCCAACCCTGAAGAACAGTGTCTTTTGTATTTTAAGTTTACAGAAACGGGACACACTTACTTACATTAAAATGTCTGTCAATTTTCCAGACATGTGGTTGCAAGCATGCAGATCACAAAAGACTGTTTTATCCACATTTCTCCAAAGTCTCCAGCATAAAGCCTCCTCCATCGAGGAAAGCAGCGGTTCTGAGCCGAAGGGCTAAGGGAACCAGTGCAGACTAAGGTGCCCCCACTCACCCTCCTTACTCTGTGACCTCTCATGCAAATGGGCCAGGAAATGCATCCCATCTGGACCCGGTTCCCCCTGCCAGTGAGGCACATCCCAGCAAGGCTGCTGAACGCCACCTGTGTGAGTGACACGGTGAGACGCAGGGCACCGCTCACCAGACGGAGGACAGACCCCCTCAGAGTGGGGACAGGGGACATGGTGACACGGAGGGCAACGCTCTCAAGAGAGGGATGGCACCCCCCTCTGGAGGGTAAACAGGGGACACAGCAAAACAAAGGGCGCTGTTCTCAACAATGGCAGGACAGCCTTCTCCAGAGGGGGACAGCGGAAGGGGGAGACGGGACACAATGAAATGGAGGGCGCTGCTCAACAGTAGGACAGGCCCCTCCAGAGGGGGTGACACCATGAGACGGAGGGCACAGCGCTCAACAGGGGGAGGACAGCCCTCTGGGGGAGCAGGAGGACACAGACCTGACATGTGACCTGAGTCACGTTAGCCTGGAGGCCTCAGTTCCCCTCCTCCTCCCATTCTTCCTCAGGGAGCCCCCTCGTCCCAGTGTCCGGAGCATCTGCTCCACAGTAAGGGCTGGGGACGAGGGAAGCCCCGAGGGGAAGAGCTCTCAACACGAGAGTACACGGAGGCCACACGCCGCCCCCTGTCATGGCACACAGCACGTCCAAGCAGAGGCCACCGCAGCTTGAGGCTCACCGGAATCGTCCTCCACGTGGGGAGAGGTCACCAGGGCGAACTTCGTGTTATAGCGCGCTTTCTGCTTCTCGTTGAGCATGTCCCACTGTGAGCCGAGCAGCTCCTCTATCTCCTCGCCAGAAGCATCAGGGTGCTCGCAAACAACCTGCGGACACAGGTGAGGACGAGGTGAGACGTGAACCGGGGACAGCCCACCTGGTCCAATCACACACACGAGGTGAGACGTGAACCGGGGACAGCCCACCTGGTCCAATCACACACACACACACACCGGGGACAGCCCACCTGGTCCAATCACTTACACACACACACTCAC